CAAAAATTTATAGTGATTGATAACTTTATCAATTTATCACTAGATTTCAATATGGTTTTTTTTAAATACAGTATTATAACATACATTGTATATTAATTTTTTGTTGTTTGATAAAATTTATACAGTATTTATAGGTCATATACATTGTATATAATAATTCAATTCAATATTTTTTTCAATGTTATCCTCATCATTATATGATATAAATATAGTATTATTATTATTATTTTGCCGATAATATACAACTATAAACATTGATGTATTAATTTGTTGTTGTTGTCTCTATTTGTGTGAAATTTTTTTTTAAATTTATTTTTTATTTTATTTATTTTTATTTCAAAAATAAAAATGCTATTTGCCATTTGACTGGGCTCTTAAAAATGTTATTTCACAAATTTAATATTATATATTATTATACAGTATATATATATATATATATATATATTATATTAACTGTAGAGTGTGAAATATAAAAATGATAAAATAAATATTAATATATATAAAAAACTTTATATAAATAGAAATATTTTTTATTTATTTATAAATAGTTGATATTTAGATATTGATTTAAAAAAAAAATATTAGATTGATTTTGAAATATTTTATATTTTAAAAAAATATATATATTTAAAATACTATTATGATAAAAAAACTGTTGATATTAATTATTATTAAGTAATGTTGACTTAAATATACTCCTATTATTAACTTTAATGAAATTTAAATAACAATTATTGATAGAAATACAATTATTTTTTGTTTCTCTATTAAATTAATTATATGTTTATTTATATATATATATTATTATTTAGCATTTATTTGTCACTATCTCAGCACAAAAAAATAATAATAATAAAAAATAAAAACAATTGAATAATAATGTTATTCTCATATGAGTTCAAGTATTAGTTAAAGCACTTAAAATAATGTAATAAAATAAAGTATATAATAAATTATATATATATATTATATGAACAAATCACACATTTACAATAACTTATATAATTTATAAACATATACTGTATATTATAATAAATTATGTAACAATTTATTGTAAACCAATAATAAAATATACTAATAATTATTAAACAAAAATAAAAAATAAATACATAATTTGTAATAATGATAATAATTTAATTTATTTATTAACATTTTATAAAAATAATATCCGCTTTATGCATAATATATATATATATAGACTGTATATTATCATTAGTATTATTATTATTAAATTATTAAAGTATTAGAAAAATTATAATAAATAAAAACAAATACAGTAAATGATTATTAAATATATTTGTAAATTAAACATTTTTAAAAATAAATATAATGCGATATAATCTTTAATTTTTACATTTTACTATAAATATTTTGAAAATGTTTAACAACAACAACAAAAATATGCTATAATTTTGATCCTCACATAAAACATAGTACAGTATATGCTAAGTATAGTACATCTATCATAACCGTTATTAAACGCAATTGATATAAACACAGCTTATATTATATATAATTTATATATTATAAATATTATATATATATATATATATATATATATATATATATATATATATATATATATATATATATATATAAGCGTCCAAAAATTCTTGAGTGCAAAAAAATCTCAAAAAATACAAATATTTAAAGAATCCTTATATTATATATGTATATTCATTTATATTATAGATAGAAAAATAAAATAAATAATATATTTTATATATATATACGGTATATATAAAATCAAAAAAGCATATTTTTTACAATTATGCTTTTTAAGAAATTTTTTTATATATAACTTATATTTTCTTTTTATAATAAATAAATAAATTTTTATTTATTTATATGTCAAATTATTTATATCGAAAGTTTTTTCATATATATATACTTTATATTAATATTTTAGATATTTTTTTTATTTAATTTTATCTATATATATCAATATATATATAAAACTAACAACATTTGTTGGTTCAATTCAACTGAAAAAATAAGCAAAAATCAAAGTCAATATGTTAAATAAATTTATATATATATATATTATAGGATTATAACACCATTTTGAATGATGCCATTTGAATGATGATTTGATATACACTACTATATTACTGTATATATATATTCAATACTTAGTCTCTTATTTCATATTTAATTTAAATATTTATTTTCTAATTTTTATTTTATACACCACTTTCTATATATATATATATATAAATATATAAATTACTATATATATTATATATATATTGATACTAATATTAATATATAGTATTATATGTATTATATATCTATTTACATATTATATGCATATATATAGTTATAGAAAGTGCTGTAAATATAAAATAAAATAAAAATTAGAAAATAAATATTTAAATTAAATATGAAATAAGAGACTAAGTATGCATATATATATATATTATCTTATAAGATGATAAAAAATTATTAATATTAAACTAAAGTACTATATATTAGTATCTATAGATTTATACAGTATATACTGTACTATATTTATGTATATTATGTAAAATAAGATTTAAGATAAAAATTATTTTTACAGCTAATAATTTTATTTACAAATATTAATGAAAAAAAAGATAATATTTGTATAAGTAAACAAATTTATATACATTTGTGGCGTAAACATATAAACTACTACTACTACTACTACTGTATATTTAATTTAAATTTAATATCATAAAATTATATATATTTTACACAACAAAATAATATACGCTTTATATATATATATTATTTGAATTATTAGTATTATATTTATGTTTATTACATTTTTCACAGTTATGATGCCCTAAACTATAAATTTTTGTTGTTATTGTTAGTTTAGATAAAAAAAACATAATGTTTCATGATAAATATCATATACTAGTACTATATATATATATTGTATAAATTATATATATATATATAAACATTTTTTACTTACAATTTAATACTGATATATTTACTTATATAGGTTGCAATATATTTGAGTATACAAAAAAAATTTAAATTTTATAAATAAATAAATAAAATTATTTTATTTTATTTAACATTTAAGCGTAGATTTATTTTCCGCATTTACAGCATATGTATTATCAGGGTTTATTTTGTTTAATATTTAAAAAAAGATACGTTAATGTTAATTTTATGATCAACAAAAATAGTTATTATATTTATTGTATTAAGTTTTTTATGTACAGTATTATTATAATAATAGTCTACACAAATTAAAATTATAATTTAATGTAGATTGAGATTATTCATTAAGATTATTGTCAAACAATATGATTTCAAAAAAAATATACATTATTTTATTAATGAACATAAATATATTTAGTATAATTATAATTATTATTTTTATTAATTAAAATAAATTTAAATGTTATAATATATTAGACATTAAGACAAGAGTGAGAGAAAAATTAATTAAATCCAAATCCTAATATACTGTATATATATATATTGAATAAATTAATGACAAAAAAAAAATAAAATCTTAACATTACTTTACTGACAAAATTTGACATAAAATGTTCATTAAATAAATAATAGATTTATTATTATTATTACATTAGTATAAATATAAAATTTACAATAGATATAATATTTCTTATAGCTAAATGTATATTACAAAAAAAATTATATATTAGATTATTTATTTTTTTGAATCAATCAAATATACTTATAATAAACTTATACAGTATATATTTAAAATTGATAAAAATATACTAAATTATTTAAATAATTTTTATTTACTATACTTTACATTTGATAATTTGAAAATAATATTTTTTTAGTTGTATTTTAAAATGTATTTTAAATCTATACATACATACATATAGTACTATTGTATATTATTTATGTAATAAATTAGATTATAAATTGACTAAAAATTTAAGTAATATGACATTAATACAGAAATAAATAAATAAATTTTCAATAAAAACCAGTTAAAAATGTTTGACATTTTTAGTCACCCACTAACATATTTTCTAACCCACTCGACTAGACAAAATCACCATTAGCATCTATAGTTGACCAATTATATATCCATTTAACTACTCTATTAGTTTTTTTTATTATTCACCCACACAGTTTCAAATTCAAAAATAAAATATAACTTTTTAAGATAATCTTTTTATTTTTTGATGTTTTATTATAGTCAGACACACATACACATACACATACACATACACATACACATACACATACACATACACATACACATACACATACACATACACATACACATACACATACACATACACATACACATACACATACACATACACATACACATACACATACACATACACATACACATACACATACACATACACATACACATACACATACACATACACATACACATACACATACACATACACATACACATACACATACACATACACATACACATACACATACACATACACATACACATACACATACACATACACATACACATACACATACACATACACATACACATACACATACACATACACATACACATACACATACACATACACATACACATACACATACACATACACATACACATACACATACACATACACATACACATACACATACACATACACATACACTCACAAAATAGACAATCAAACAACTACATTACAGATAATAAACCTAAAAAGTTTGTTAATAATATTTAATACTATATTTTAATCTATTACTATAATATTATATACAATTATTTTCTCAGAAAACCCTAATATTAAAAGTATTTTATTTTTCTCTGAAAAAGAATCTAAAATTTAATTATGTTTTTTTTAAGAATATATATATATATCAATATATATACTTATTTTTAAAAATAAAATTTGATTTCTCTCTCTCTCTCTCTCTCTCTCTCTCTCTCTCTAGGATTCAATTGAGTCAACGATTTTTGTTGAAATCATAAAACCACTAAAACATGAGAAAACTTTTTTTGGATGACTTTTGCGGTGAACATGATTTCGACTTTAATAGGTATACATCAATATATCACGACATCGATCGGCAATAATTCATTTTTAGGCATTATTCTAGTCCTCATGTCGGGCATCATAACTCACTACAGGTATTATTTATTATTATTATTATTATTATTATTATTATTATTATTAGTAGTAGTAGTAGTAGTAGTAGTAGTATTGTATTAATTTTATTTACTAAAAACATGTGTCTTATGATAGATATTATGAATTAAATTCAAGCATATATTTATTCAAATACATACATGTAATACATGAATGGAAACATAATATTTAATAATAATCTAAATATATATTGATATTTACAGTATAATGTGTTATGAATAATAATAATAATATACAAAATAATATTAATATTTTTTTATTATAAACAAATTGTTAGTCAAATGTAATTTTTAAAAAATATATATTTCTCTCTCTCTCTCTCTCTATCTCTCTCTCTCTCTCTCTCTCTCTCTCTCTCTCTAACCAAACAACACAAACAGATGTGAAGTACTTCACGGAAAGATATTAGACATGAATGAAGTGTTTCCAGAGGATTATGATATGCTTATGCCTCCCAAAGATAATGGTTTGTATTGTACTTTACTATAAACTATCCTAACTGTATGTCCACAACAAAACAATTTTTTTATATATATCAAAACACATATACCAACAACAACGACAACAACAAAAAAATAAATAAAAAAAAACATTAAAGATTATATTCATAAATATTATTGAACATAACTATACAGTATATTTTTGTTGAGATCCATTTCCAAGATATATATATATTATACTAACTCTATATATATATATACATATACTTTATTTTTAAACTATTTTAAAACCATATATATATATATAAAGTATATGCAGTATATTCTGTATTGAAATTATATAAAAGTTTTATACTATAATATATATGGGAAACAACAGACAATTAAATTAAGTGAATATATTTGTATAAATGTTTTTAAACGGAATTATAAAAACAACAAAACTATAAATAAATAAAATCTTAAGTACCGACAAAAATGCTTAACAATTATATATTAACAAAATAAAACCCAAAAAAAAAATAAATTGTTAACTACTTTAACAGTATTACAGTATTATTATTATAATTATTATATTAGGCGTTACATAAAAGATTAGTAATTTTTCAATTTTTTGTTTTTGTTTTTTTTAGTAAATTTATGTTTTTAGTTATTTTTCTAAGTATTATTCTATAATATATATATATATTAAAAAAAAAACTTTTAAACTAATTATGAATAAAAAGTCATATAAAAAAACAATACAAACAGTTAGATAACTAATTTAGAGAATTTTTATTTTAGTTTTATTTATTTTTTTTTAAAATAAAGTTTCAGTAAATGTGATGATAGAAAAAATTTTTATTTTCTTTTACCAAAAAAATAATACATATTTAAATATTTATATTGAAAGCAACAAAAAATAAATAAAAATAAAATTTATATATGTTGTGCTAATGTTAGAAAATAATACAATACTATATTAACAAAAAAATTTTTTTATTAAATTTAAACCAAACAAAAAAATTACTGTTTATTAATGCATATAAAATATAATTTTCTTTAATAATAATAATAATAATAATAATAGTGAAGTCAACAATGCAATCACGCAAAAAATATTTAGATAAAAACTTTAAAAACTTTTTTTTTAAATTAAATATTATTTATCACCCACATCATTTATTAATATCATATATTTATCAGCGTTAATACTATTATAGTATATTGAAAATGATTTTCATATATATATATATATATATAGTAAATAGTTTATAAATATATTATTATTTTTAATAAAATAATTTATATTTTAATCATCAACTATTTATAGCCTACGTTTGTCTAATATTATTATTATTACTAAATATTAATTATATTATAGATTTGTATTATATTTTTTAAAAAAAATTGTTTAAACAAAATTGTATAAACAGTAGTATATTATAAATAACCCTAAAATTTCTAAATATTCAATTCAATTACATAGAAATTTATAATTATTAAATTAATTAGTTAGATAGAGATAAAAATGTTCAAAAAACAAAACAAAAAATAAATAAGTAAAAATATTTTAAAATTAATTAATAAATTTTAAATACATTATAATTTATAATTTTTCAAAACAATTTAATTAATTTAAAAAGCGTAGATAAATTTTTACAAACAATAACAACAACAACAAAAAATTAAATAATATTATTAGTGCTAACAATTTATACTACTATTTATACTACAGAATAATTGAATTTTATTATTATTTTTGGTTTATTTTTCATATTATCATATGATTTCAAAATAAATTAATAAATGTAGAGAAAATTGATTAAATTTTTGTTGTTATTGTTGTGATATATAAGTCAAACATTTAAAAATAAAAATATATTATATGATATTATTTAAAAAAAATAACAATTTATTTTAATCTATAAATATATATATATATATAATAGATAATATAATAATAATTTTATTGTTGTTGAAAAAATAAGTATTTAAAAAGTTAATAATATAGTAAACATTAAAGTATTAAAAAAAACAAACAAAAAAATATATATTTTTTGAAATATAGAAATATTTAGACAAAAAAAATAAAAGTATATTTATTTATTTTTTAAAAAAAAAATAATAATATTTAATATTAATACCAAAAAATGCATTATTATTATTATTATTGTTATCATCATATTAATAGTACACACATATATATTTATTATATATATATATATATATATATATTAAATCGATAAACATTTTACAGGAATGCCTACAAAAGTTAGATTTCATGTTTGGGTATTGGGCTTGGATTCAATAGACGAGGGATCAATGGTATGTTTTATGACTTATTTTATTTATTTTTTGCCTCTAAATGTTAATAATATTAATAGTTATATACTATATATATATATATATATATATATATATATATATATATATAAATACAGTATATATATATAAGTATAAGTCATATGATGATTAATGTTTTGTGTGTGAACTTTTTTTTCGGTGGTGGTATCAATTGATACAAAATTAACATATAATATTATATATATATATATTTATATAAGTAATGTTGCGATAAATATATCTATATATATATCTATGATTTTTAATACACAATATATATACATATACTATATATATATATTAGACATATGTGGCCGACATATTCATGTCTCAGTCATGGAAAGACCATCGCCTAAGAATACCGGATGACATTGCCGTCACAAACAACAACAACAACAACTACTCAACCAAATCATCACAATATAGACTATTGCCGATCGGTTGGATCACCAAAATGTGGAGACCCGACTCATTTTTTAAAGTCAGTTACTATTAGTATTAATATTATTATTACTATATTTACTATTATTATTATTATTATTATTACTGTATAACAGTTTTAATGACATCACAAATATAACAAACATTTATTTTTATGTCATATTTACTAATATTTCACTTTCTCTCTCTCTCTCTCTCTCTCTCTCTCTCTCTCTCTATCTATCTATCTGTCTCTCTCTCTCTCACTCACTCACTCTCTCTCTCTCCCTCTCCCTCTCCCTCTCCCTCTCCCTCTCCCTCTCCCTCTCCCTCTCCCTCTCCCTCTCCCTCTCCCTCTCCCTCTCTATCTCCCTCTCCCTCTCCCTCTCTTTCTTTCTTTCTTTCTTTCTTTCTTTCTCTCTTTCTTTCTCTCTCTCTCTCTCTCTCTCTCTCTCTCTCTCAATGTTTTTATTTATGTATATATATATTATTTTTATCCATTATATATATATATGTGATGATAATGTTGTTATACTGTTGTGATAACTGATGAAAAATCAAAAATCAATTTATTATTATTATTATTAATATTATTATACAGAATGCAAAACAAGTTATTTTCCAGGAGATGACTATTCCTAATCACTATATCTGGTTAGAGATTATTATTATTATTATTATTTTCTATACTTAATATTATTAAAAACTTATTATTATTGGTATTATTATTATTATTTGGGATATATAAATATGTTGACAAAATATTATAATATCAATATTATACAGTTTATAAAAAGATAATGTATTTAAAAAAATATATATATATAAATATATCAATTTATTATCAAAAAATTTATTAGATTAATTTTATATATATATATAATATTATATTATATTATTCTTAAAATATACAATTTTATTTACTTAATTTTATTAGCATCTAAAATATATTGAATTTATTTATGATAATTTAAAAAAAAATAAAATTTAATATATTTATATATATAATTTAGATAATATTTATTTATATACAGTACATAAACATGTCAACATAATTTCAAAATAAAATATCCTAAAACTTTTATAAAATATTTAAATAATTTGTGTCTATATTTTACATACTTAATACTTAAATCTAATATATACTATATAAATATATTAAATTATTTAATTAAATACTAATTTAATTAAATTAAATTTTTGTTGTTTGTAGGATATATCCAGATAAAACAATTTTATATATGGTTAAGTAAGTAATAAAAATAAATAAATTAAAATTTTGTTTATAAAAATTTTGTTGGATTGTAAATAAACTTTAATAATAATAATAATAATAATAATAATATATAAATTGTATTGAATTTAAAAGTATTATACACTTGATTAACATATAGTATTGTTATATTTATAGTCACTCTATAATAAACAGTATTTTTAAAAAAAATCATTAATAATTACAAATCTAGCATTAATTAATTTTTAAAAAAAAATAATAATAAAAATATTCATTTATCAAAATATCTATTTTAGTAATTTAATATTAATTTTTAAATAACATCATTACACTCAAGTTAATACTGTAATTGTTAATATTGTAGTAAATATTTTTAATTTTTCCAACAAGTTTTCCATAACAATCAGTATTATAATTATTATTAAAGATTAACT